CAAATACAGCCAGGTTATTTTGCTACAGGAAGCAGAAAATCCCTCAAACGCCCTTCTTCATCTCCCACAGCAAAAGCACACTCATTAACTAGCAGTTTCCTGCCCGGTGATGACACCCAAATTCTGCTGACTGAGATTCTGCCTCATGTTAAGGATCAGCCCTTAGTGGACAAGCAGATGTGATTCCAAGACCGCTGGTAATTCAGTCTGAAGAATGGAAGGTGGCATAGCTTAGCTATCACTTTGGAATGTACTGAACTACCAGTACCTGAGGCTCCCTGTGTGGTGATACTGCCAGCTGCAAAATTACTCTAGCCCTTGTTGCTAGAGCCAAGTTGTTTCAGTGAAGGGTGTCTGTGTTAGGAGGACAAACAGGGGACTGATTGTTTCCTCTGTCAAATGTAGTGAGTGCATATCTTGTTTGTTCTATGCAAGAGAGCTCAAGGCAACCTGGGTAGCTTTATTTTTTGGCCTCCCTGATGCGAGGGATGAAAAATCAGCTCTGAACAAAAGACTGTTTGTCAAGAATTATCTCTTGTGGGAGGTAATTCATCAACTCCCCAGGGAGAGCCCCCTCAAAGCAAGAGGCCAGATGTTCAAAGAAAAATAAATGGACAGTAGTGGGATAAGTTGGATATTTAATAACCAGTTATTAATTAAAGGAAAAATAATATTTTAAATCACTGAAATGCCTTGTGAGGATCACATCTCAATAGCTGACGACATACTGTATATGCAGAAAATCTCCTGTTCAGTTTATAGTAGAGATCATCAGGCCTTTCTCTTGGTCCCATCACCTTTACACGTGCATTTGGTGGGGACACAGGAGAGGGCCTTCTCTGCGGCTGCTCCCAGACCTCAGAACTCCGTCCCACAGGAGTCCAGGCTGGCCCCGTCTTTGCTGACTTTCCGCGAGCAGGCAAAGACGAGCGAGACAAGCCTTCCCTCAGTAACTAGCTATCTGTGTGGGATTTTTAGATAGATTGCTGTGCATTACTGCTTTGCATGTGTTTTGGTGATGACAAATGGTATTTGTTTTATTCTTTTTAGTATTTGTATACTCACCATTGTTCACCTTAAATGCTGTCTATTAAATATATAAGCTGCCTTGGGTCCTTTTTAAAGGACAAAGGCAGGATAACAAACTGTGAATGAATGAATGAATGAATGAATGAATGAATGAATGAATGAATGAATGAATGAATGAATGAATGAATGAATGATACACCTATGATTGATTCATACTAGTTTGGTTAAAAAGACTTGCTGAGTCTATTCACTCAGCCAGCAAGTACAACATAGGGTTTTTTGAATTGGGATGTCTCTGTGGGCATCTAGGGATTTAAAGTGGAGAAAGAAAGGAAGAGGTCTCCACGTTGGTCAAGATAGTATGTGGGTGGATTGACCCTCCGTTTGTCACACATATCAAACTTGTTCAAACATCTCCATGCATGTTTAATTGTGTTGTTGAGACATAGCTGGACTGTCAGCTAGTGGTGTCATTGGGTACACAAGCAGAGGACTTCTGGTGGCTTCACTGCTGTCTCCTAAATGATGTTGCCAATCTGTAATTTGGGAGCTACAGCAAGAGCCAAACAATAGGTGGGTGTTATCTCCCCAGCTTTTTAATGCCTTCAGCTGTTATTTGTAGAGTTCTTATCTATAGTTGGACATGCTCTATAATTTGTTCTAAAAACGCTAGTATTCCCCTTGAACCACAAGTCATATAAGACCTCTTCCACTAGAACAAGAAACATGATGGTGTAGGGGCTAGAGTGTTGGGCTAGGACACAGGAGAACCTTGTAAAAAATCCCCATTTGGCCATAGACACTCATGGGCCTCATCTGATAACTAAAAAGCCCCTTTTAATTTCCATGACTGATACATTTTCATGTAGCAGAATGTCTGGCTTTGTAATGAGGAACCATCACTTTTCTCCTGACAGCCACCTGAAATGGGCTTGAGTTTTTTAAATTATATTATATGGAGCACATACTGTATGCAGATCTGCTTGGAAATTCACTCCAGTGCAAAAAAAAATAAAAATTAAAAATAAAGTGAAAATAGGGTAATTGTAACATTGGCAAAATCCAGGCAAAATCAAACGAGTCTGTTCAGACTGTCATATATTTAGGTGTGTGGTTCCCTGATAGCTCTGTTTGGCTTGGAAAAAAAGACCTTGTCGACTTGAGTTTCTACTTAAAATAATCCATCCTTCCCCTTTAAGAACTGATCTGTATCCATCTGATACAGGGCTAGGGCATGCAATCTTTTTGGAGGATTCACTGAGATACAAAATAACTCTTTGTTCTGCCTTCATGAATGGGTATCAAGAGTTAAAACAGATTGCACTGAAGATAAGGATCTTTTAAGCACCAGCAGAATCGCACCACATTTCATAGTGCGGACAGGCCCTATAATGTATTCTAAAAACAATGGGACCAATTACCTCAGGAATTAACTTGGAGGTGGTGACTGGCCCAATGCTTGGAAGCATTCAAAAGAAAATTGGACAACCCTGTGTCCAATCTGCTTTGATTTGGATTCTTGCCTTGAGCGGAGGGGAGGGGGTTGGACTCAATGGCCTTAGAGGCCCCCTTCCAAATCCATGCTTCTATGATTCTATGAACTGTGAACCTTGCAGAAGTGGTTGGCTGCTGCCATTTGCCCAAAGCCTTGGGTCAGCCTCGATGTTATAAGAAAGAATAATTCAGATAAATCAGTCCATTTAAAGATATAATTAGCACAGCCCTTAGATTGGCTCTGACCAAAGTCTCACCATTCTTCCTGTTTCTGCAGACGTGAGGCATTTAGAAATCTGGGCAGCTGATAAGAACACTCGCTCCTCTGTTGATCCATTGGTGCTCCTGGAGATAATTTGTCTTCTTGGGTCAAAAGGGGACAGACAGCGCTCCCCAGGGACAAAGTCTGGAGGGCTTTTTGAAGACGGCTGTCCCAGTGGCTTAAAGTGGGTCGGCTATGCAGCTAGCAGTGGGAATCAGCCATACCGCAGTTGTCTGTCCGAAATTAGTCAATCAATCACAACTGTGCTAGATCAGACTGGAGTCTTTTCTACTCTAGCATCCTGTTCACACTGCAGGCAACTAAACATGGAAACAGGGCCAACCTGCCCTTGAGCAGAGCGAGGCAACGGCTTCTGGCAGCTCATGCTAGGAAGTGTTGGAGAGAAGCGGTTGTATACCACACTGCACGACCCTTCAGTGTTCTCCCCAATGCTATCCCATTGCCTATGCAAAAGTGTGGAGTCTTTTCTACTCTAGCATCCTGTTCACACTGCAGGCAACTAAACATGGAAACAGGGCCAACCTGCCCTTGAGCAGAGCGAGGCAACGGCTTCTGGCAGCTCATGCTAGGAAGTGTTGGAGAGAAGCGGTTGTATACCACACTGCACGACCCTTCAGTGTTCTCCCCAATGCTATCCCATTGCCTATGCAAAAGTGTCCACTTTGGACACTTTTAAAAGTCAATTAAAAACATGGCTATACATTCAGGCCTTCCCTCCAGTTAATATCTGACTTTTCTTTATTCTCTCCTTATGTATTTTCTATTCTATTGTTGTATTCTGTTTATTACAATATGATTTATGTAATTGTGTATGGAAACAGGGCCAACCTGCCCTTGAGCAAAGCAAGGCAATGGCTTCTGGCAGCTCATGCTAGGAGGTGTTGGAGAGAAGCGATTGCATACCACACTGTCTGCCCGACCCTTCACTGCTTTCCCGGATGCTATCCCATTGCCTATGTGACATAATATTCGCCTCCCAGCCCGTTTGGCTTCTGTATATGGGATGGAGGAGGGCACCATTTTGCCTTTTCCTTCAGGCGGGGGGGGGGCGGACCCGATAAATAAATAAATAAATAAATAATATTCACGTCCCAGGCCATTTGGCTTCTGTATGTGGGATGGAGGGGGGAACCATTTTGCCTTTTCTTTCAGGCTGGGAGAGGGAACCCCACAAGCAGAACTGAGTGCAACAGTATCCTCCTATTCCTGTATCCCAGCAGCTGCTGTACAAAGATATACTGCCCCTGATACTGGAGGGATTATATGATCATGACTAATAGCGCCATTCTTCAGGACAACACTACGTTCAAGGTATACTTTCCTTCCTCATCATCCAAACGCACATTTTGCATAACGACTTTAGCATCACCACAACTCTGTGGCCTCTGGCCAAGGTTTCATTCACTAGCCAGTCGCCCTGAAACATTTATCTTAAGCCCCACCCCCCCAAAAATATATATATATAGCAGGTGCACGAAGTCTGGATGTCCTTCAGATCTATTGTCTTAGACACTGTCTAAGGTAATAGATATGAAGGGACATCCAGTTTTCACGCACCTGCTATATTGGGGGGGTTTGGCGCAAAGTGATGACGTCGCGTACTAAGGCGACCGCCCTTTACTGCTCAGTGCTCTTTTCCTCCCGCCCCTTTCGGCGAAAGATGGGAACATTCCGTACGATGACGTCAGGAAAAAAAGATGGCGACGCGGGTCAAAAACAAGCAAGCCCCGGAAACGACGACGCGCATGCGTGCTTCGTCTCCCCTTGGGTGGGCGGCCGACGGACGTGGTTTTTCCGCACCGGGGAGGCGAAGCGGGTGGCAGGTAACGCTGGTGGTTTTTCTCTTGAGGTTTAAGCGCTGGCGTTCTCTGCGCAGGCCGCGACCACCCCCTCCCGAAGTGACCCAGAGATGCGGGGGAAGTTTGCCTTATCTTAATTTACAGTCACCGAGCCCAGGTTTTCTGCCACAGCGCTTGAGGGGGGGGGGGCTGAGCCTCACAATCCCATAATATTCCCCCTCAGCTCCCAGTCGAGCTGGACCTTTTGTTGTTTAAACAGCGGAGCTGGAAAGGGACCCCGTGGGTCATCGAGCCCACCCCCTGCCAAGGGAGCCCCGAGGGGGGGACTTGAACTCGTAACCTCTGGCTCCACAGCCAGAGACACAGGGCTCTCCAGCACTTCCTTCAGTCTGCCTTGAATCGGGTGTTTATCTCGTCCTGGCCCTCTGGATGTTTCTGGGCTGCTCCGGTTAATCCATGGCCGGTGGAGAAGGATGATGGGCACTGCAGCCCAGCAAAAATGGGGATGGCCCATATTGGGGTCCGGAAGAGGGTTTAACAGCCCCCTGCATGCTGATGAGCGAAGGAAAGGGCAGCCCTTTTAGGAAACCAGTGAGCATGATTTGTGAGTAACTCCCTAAGTTCGATTCCCAGGGTGGCCTAGTGGGTAGAGCGAGGGACGTGGACTCTCTGGAGACCAGGGTTCGAATCCCCCATTTGGCCCTGGAAGCTCACTGGGGGAGTGGAACTGGCAAAACTATCTCACTTCCTTGAAAACCATCTTAGGGGTGCTATGAGTTGGTTCCAACTTGACAGCACAGAACACACAAGTTCAAACTGCTGGTGTTACGTGTTTTTTCTATGCAACTGGAAAGCTTCTTTACTCCAGGGATGGGGAACATGTGGGCCTCCAGGTGATTTGGATTGCAGCTTTCCTCCTATCAGCATTAGCTGCGCTGCCTCAATCCTCTGAGAATTGTAGTCGGCAACATGGGGAAAGCCAAATATTACCTATATATATATGTTGGGAATGTTGTTCCTGCCTATAAGGATGGGCAACAGGTAATCCTCCAGATTTGAAGGACATAGAAAAAAATAACAGAGCAAAATGTGAACTAAAATCTCGAAGGCAAAAAATAGTAGAAAAGCGGAATTTTAATTTTAATACTGCAGTATGAATAGAATGGATGGCAGCATATTTTGTTCCTTCTCTCCCCCTCAACCCCAACAATTTTTCCCTCACTCCCCCTTTTACCTTCTGTAACCCATATCCTAACCCAAGTTATTAAAGCAATAAAAAGGATTGCAGAGAAATCAAAGAGAAGAAATAATATTTATTTCACAGCTTTCCCCAAATGACCGGATTTCTTTAGTGATCCTGCTTTTCTTGTAGGAAAAAATAAAACCATGGAAGCCCCTCCTGTCACTATGATGCCTGTCACTGGTGGAACAATTAACATGATGGAATATTTACTTCAAGGTGAGTCATCAGCAAGAATTATCATGAATAGAGATGGGGGCATTCATATACGAATATTAATACCCCCGCACAGGTGATAAGGAGGGTCCGGCCCCCCTGGGGCCAGACCTACCATGCACCCTTCTGCCACTGCCACGATCTCCGTGCTCCCTTCCTATTGCTCTGGAGCTTGCAGTAGATTAACCACTCTTCGACCTGGCGGAGAGGCTCATCATCCAGCCTCCCGCCAGGAGTAGCTAATCCACCGTGAGCTCCGGAGTGACAGGAAGGGAGTGTGGAGCCCGTGGCAGTGGTGGAACAGTGAGTGGTTGGTCTGGCCCCAGGGGGCCGGACCCTAGCTATCTCCACCTGTGTGGGGGTATACATATACCAATACCCCCATCTCTAATCCTGAATCGCTAACATCTGGTTACATGACATTCTAGTGGAAGAGTATCGGGTTCTTTATTGTTATAGGTGCTTTCCTCTGGTTCTTTTCTACTGCAGGTGCCTTTCCTCTGTATGACTCTTAAAAAGACAGTTTAATTTACGTAGGATGTGAGTTAGAAATCTTAGGTCTGTTTTTGTATTACAAAACTGATAAGCCAGTATATGAGGTTACCAGTAGAGATCCTGTGAACCTATTGCCAAGCATGGTTAGATTGATAAGTACAAAGAAGGTCTTTGCAGTGTCCCAGCACCTATGGAATGAGTTTTCATCCTTCTCTTTCTTCACTAGTCTTCAGAAAAACTCTAAAGTTCCTGTTGTCTTATCTGGCTTTGTCTTAACACTTGGCTGCTGGACTTACTCTAATAAACCGTTTTGTTGGGTATTGTGTTATAGTGATACTGTTTTGCATTGTTTCTGTACACATCCTTGGGAGAGCTTTCACCATTAGTTTTAAATTAAAAATAAATAAATGAACACATTCTCAACCAATCCTGTTTTTTGGAATGTACCTGTGTAAGGAATTTGTTAGCAAACTTCTGATTAAAATTCTCTTAGTACTTTTTCAGTGCGCATTTCAGATTGATTAGTACAAAGAAGGTCTTTGACAGTGTCCCAGCACCTATGGAATGAGGTTTAGTAGAGTTTTATCATGAGTTTTAGTAAAGGTTTAGTAAAGAGTTTTGTGATTCTTTGATCACTCTTCTTAGGAGTTCGCATTGCACGAACTAGCTACCAAGAATATTACTGGACTGTTCAAGCTATTATTGGAAATACAGTACAGTAGTTACTTGTTCAGATGGGATCACCAGTCCCCCTTTCTCTTCCAGGGAGTGTTTTGGATCAAAGCTTGGAGAGCCTTCTACATCGGCTTCGTGGCCTTTGTGATAACATGGAACCTGAGACTTTTGTAGATCATGAGATGGTGTTCCTGCTGAAGGGGCAGCAGGCCAGCCCGTTTGTCCTCCGCACACGGCGGTCAGTGGACAAACCCGGTGCACCTTGGCATTTACGCTATCTCGGGCAGCCGGAAATGGGAGACAAAAACCGTCATGCCTTGGTACGCAACTGCGTCGACATTGCTACCTCTGAGAACCTGACAGACTTCTTAGTGGAAATGGGCTTCCGCATGGACCATGAATTTGTAGCCAAGGGGCATGTGTTCCGTAAGGGCATTATGAAGATTGTGGTATACAAGATCTTTCGCATCTTGATTCCAGGAAATACTGATAACATTGAGCCTTTGTCTCTCTCCTACCTTGTTGAGCTCAGCATTGTTGCGCCAGCCGGACAGGACATGGTTTCTGATGACATGAGGAGTTTTGCCGAGCAGCTCAAGCCTTTAGTTCACTTAGAAAAAATTGACCCTAAAAGACTGATGTGAATGAGATCGCTGGATGCGGATGAGATAATTTGCAGCTAAACCGAGAGATTCTTTCACAAAGACAGGAATTTCAGAAAGTTTTGACCAATAAATCTGACTCTTATTTCTTTAGAAAAATCAAAATCATAAGATATTTTGCTTGGCTTCATATTAATTCAGAGATGGATGTACTTCAAGTGATTCCAAGCTGTTGATATTTGCAGTGTCCATATAATTAGTTCATGTAGTCCAAATAATTGCTGGTTTAGTTCCTATTCCAAACCAGATAAACCCTTCAAATCAGTGGAATTTATTTAAGTGTTCAACAGTTGAGACAGGTCATCCTCTAACTTGGACCATCAGTTATTATTATTATTATTAGTTTTATTTGTATTTCACATTTCTCCCAAAAATGGGACCCAAGGAATTGGAATTGGGCATATAATTTGAGAACCATATTTGGAAATTTTTTATAGGCCTGGCTAACTATACCCATTTTTTGTCATCTTTTGGGATTACCAAAAGAGGTTCTCTCCCCCCCCCCCCCCAGTATTTCATGCTTATCTGTTTATAAAAATGCATGAGATTTTACAAGTTTTTATACTAAGAAAATATAAAATGAAAAGTATTTTTAAGCCTCTAAGCATGTTGTTAACACAAACAAAAAATCAGTACAAAATATTCTCACCCAGTTTAGTCAGATTACAGTCTGTGTAAAGGTTTGTTGTGCCAACAGCTGTGGAATTTACCAGCTGTAAAGAACTGTCAGCTACTCCTGGGACCAGCTGGGGATGCACTTGCCATAGGTAATCAGATTCTTGCAGAGAAAGGTGGAGTATGAATTAAATGCATAAAATTACAAAAATAAGACGAGAGTGAAACTTGTTTTGATGTGAACTTGTTCTGCACTATTAGAAAATTCACTGCTTGGTAGCCTGCAAGGAATGGATCATTTCAACATTAGAATTGTTGTAAGAATTTTTAAACAGTCTTTTCAGTGGTAAATGAATCCTGCTGTTTTTATCCAAGGAGATTCCAACATTCCAGATAGGATATTTACTGGCGCTTAATTATTTCACAGGAATAGAATGTAACTTTACATACAGCATCCTTTGTACTTTGACAGAATAATTATGCTGTCCTGTTTGTTATGGAATTGCAGTTTAGTCTCATCCTGTCTGCACTGGATCTTTTCAGAGTTGGTCATAATTGGTCAACTAGTTTTCATTGTATTTGCATTCATCACACATGCTCGGGTAGATCCAGCCATGTATGTGGTGAGCTGTCATGTCAAAGTACACAACAAAATTCTGCCTCTGCTACCTGATAGAGCCACTTTTGTGTTATCAAACAAGAGTAAAATACTTGTGTATTGCCTCTCGTGAGGATGCAAAGGAAGTCTTTTCAATACGTTGTCAGTATACATACATACCAGACAGTGGAAAAGTTGTTGTTATTATTATTTTGTATTATAAGTCTCAGAGTTCTGCAGCCAGTAAGGCCACTGTGTGGCTGAAGCCAGGAAATGGCCCATGATGGTTCCACAATAGTATGCCCATGTTGCCAGCAGGAAAAAGGATTCCAAGCTTTACATAGCAATGGGCAGCCTGATTGTGGGCAACACCAATGGCAGCAGTCAAGATGGTCTATAGGATCCCCTCTTCTGTTCACTCCCATTCACACTTATTGAAAAACAGTCCTGACCGTGGCTTTGTGTTTGGGTGAGAAGCGGTGAATTGGTGAAAAAAGGCACCCGTTTCTGGGATTTTCCCTTGCGTGGTGTCACTTTGTGAATGGATTAAAGGCAGGTAGGGAAAGCGAGAGGAGGAACAGTCTTCTAGGCCCATGACTCCTTCTGAGGGGACAATGGAGGACGGAGACACTTGACCACAGAGGAGGTGGACCCCTTGTTCTGTGCGATGGGAGAAGTGGCATGGGACTTGGAGAACGACCCTGATGGAAATCAACAAGGCGAAGGGCTGAGACCAGGGAAGAGGGACCTCCACCCCACCAGCCTCAGGGAAAGCTCAGTCGCCAGCAGCTCCTTGGTGACCAAGGCATCCAGAAGGTCCTCTGGCATATACCCCACCCCAGTGGAGACCCTGGCAGTGCCAATGCTAGTGTGAAAGGGGAAGGAGGATCATCACAGAGCCAGGGAGCAGCTCCCCACTCACTGCCAACAACCTCTCCTGGCCTACTTTAAAGGTCTCCAAGCCCAGCCCCGGACTGGTTCCTGCAGCCTTGAAGCACTGAGACTCCAGTGGCCCCAAGGAAAAGAAATTAGGCCAGGACCAAACTGACCGTTTCCAGGAGACTGGTGCCAGGAACTCAGTCCCCTGGAGGGCAGTGATGAACCTCTGTGACAGGGAACCTCTGTTCACCATCTGTGGCCAAGTAAATGATACCTTTACTGGTAACCTGGACCCTCCCTTTGGGGGAGGGGGCAGGAGAGCGAGGACGGGCAGCATCCCTATCCTATCCCTTCTTAGAGCACGCTGCGAGCCGGAGGCTCTTCCCCCTCTGCCCCTGGACCCCAATGGGTCTGTCTGTGCTGCTGGCTTTCCAGACGGACTCTGCCTCCCGGAGCCCGCTTGGAAATCCCATGGAAAGAGAGCACCGCGAACGGACAGAACGGTTGGAGGCAGGAGCCGGGGAAATTCAAATGGCCTCCCCAACGGGCTCTGCCTCCAGGGGCAGAGGGGGAAGAGCCTCCGGCTTGCAGTGTGCTCTAAGAAGGGACAAGAGCTCACCATATGCCTTTGAAAGGGATGGGGAGGGAGAGGCAGCGATAGTCTGGATTATGAGCTGGTGTGTCCAGGGCAGGGAGCAGCGGCGCCTGAGCCCCCCAAAGTGTGGCCGGACTTTTCTCCTTCACATCCCCACCCTGTTTTTGAGTGTGCCGAAAGAGGCCAACATGGCTCTCGGGGGGGGGGAGGCTCGCTTTCCCAGGTGGCGTTTTAGAAGGGGGGCACAGGTGGGTCAGTCAGGGCCTCAGGCGCAACCCCGAGGAACACAGCCGCAAAGAGAAAAAACGTGGGGCACCTGGAAGGCTCAGCGAGGAGCCTCAATTATGAGCCGGTGGGTCCTTACATTCCCCCCCCTCATGCATGGTCCATCCGTGCTGCTGGCTTTCCAGCCGGGCTCTGCCTCCTGGAGCCCGCTTGGAAAGCCAGCAGTACGGACGGACCCAGCGGTGGAAGGCAGGAGCTGGGGAAATTCAAATGGCCTCCCCGCCATTTTTTGTAATGGCTGCCACTGTGTCCCTGCGGCCCAGTGGATGGCTCCTCGCGGCCAGGCACGAGGCCGCAGACCGGGGGTTTGGGACCCCTGACTTGGGGCACACACAGGACTGGCTCAGGACATTGAAGTTTTAATTAAGGCTGAATTTCATGCCTGCCCGTCTGCTCTCCCTTCTTATGGAGGACTCTCATGGGAGGACACGGATGGAAGATCTCAAGTCCAAAGTACACACTCTTGGACTGTCCCCTGATCTCTTATTGACCTCTGTGTACAGTGATACATACATATAAACTTTATTGTTTCTGGCCATAGACCTTTACAATATTGTGACTACTGTAGCATATAAAATCCAAATAAAGCAGGTAATTACCTTAAAACCATTAAAGCCATTAATTACCTTAAAACCATTAAAACCAATAAAACCCGGTCTAAAAATATTGTCATAATGGAAAACGTCAATCCACTGTATACAGCATTTATGTGGCATTATGACCCCTGACAAATCGAAGCCTCAGCTTCTTAGCTGCTAATGCAAATTGTGCTACAGCATATGTAATGTACAACTGTGCATCAGCAAGCAATCCTACTACTATTTCAGTGGTATTACAGTTAAAATACCTCTGAATGATGAATGACAGAAATCTTTCCCTAGGATTTTTATAGAGAGGACAGAACAATAGATAATGAGTTAGATCCTCAGTCTGGTTGCAGCCAAAGACACATTTCCGTTCCTCGACTGGGATTCCTTTATATCTCCCTTCGAGGTATGCTGAGGCCATCTGTCCAAATCTAAGTTCTGTGAAAGCTCTGCAAATCGGGAAAAGTCAATGACTCAAAATATTTTGGTTTTGCATGATTCACCTGAAGTTGAGGATACCAGGTAGAAAAACGGGATAGCTGCCCTATCCTGGCTAGCATCAAGATCAAAGATCCAGTTCCTAAGGTCGTGAGAGCTTAAACTAAGGAACTTTTCCATCAAAAGGTTGTGGACCTTTAATTTTTGGTGACATTGTTGTGCCCATCCACCAGACTTTAGTTGTTCTAACCAACAGCACTTTGTCAGGGAGGAGTCCTCCAAACTGTTCAGTCTATGCCAATATCTAAGATAGGCCAGATCAATTCTAGCGACAATTGAGGGTAGGCCTAACTCAGCTCTGAGGTGAGCTGAGGGAGTTCCTGAGGGGAGACCCAGTATCAGCCTCATAAATTTGTTCTGCAGGATTTCTAGTTTGGGCTTGGCTGTCTCTCCCCATAATTTTAACAACGAACACCTTGAGAACGGGATTTACCAGCTGGCCTCCTCTGCTGTGGAAAAATCTTTTTTAATTGCCCTATTGATCTGGTACTCAGTAAGATGGTAGCATTTAAATGCTGTTTCCAGGAGAGTTTCTCACAAAATTGAAGGCCCAAGTATTTAAATGAGTGTACCTGCTCAATATCATGCCCATCCAGAGACCAGTTATGCTTAGGGGCTCTCTTCCCACAGACCATAATTTTTGTTTT